GCCTCGGCCTCCCAGGGTGCTAGGATTACAGGCGTGAGCCACTGCGCCCTGTCTGTTTTTATCTTTCTTAAACAATTTTATTTTAATAGATTTTTGGAGTACACATGGTTTTTGTTACAGGGCTTTCAGTGTACCCATCACCAGAACAGTGTACATTGTACCTGATAGGTAATTTTAAATCCTTCCTCCCCCACCCAACCTCCCCCCTTCTTTGTTTCCAATGTACATTACATCACTTTATGACCATATATACCCATTGTTTAGCCCCCAATTATAAGCGAAAACACACGGTATTTACTTTTCATTCCTGACATACTTCACTTAGGATAATGGTCTCCAGTTCCATCCAAGTTGCTGCAAAAGACATTATTTCATTCATTTTTATGGATGAATAGAACTTCATTGTGTGTGTGTATATACACAAAATCACATTTTCTGTTTACTCATCAGTTGATGGGACCTTATGTTGATTTCATATCTTTGTGATTATGAATTATGTTGCAATAAACATTCAGGGACAGGTATATTTTTAACAAAATGACTTCTTTTCCTTTGGGTAGATACCCACTAGCAGTCTTGCTGGATGGACCAGTAGGTCAATTTTCAGTTCTTTGAGGAATCTCCATACTATTTTCCATAGAGGTTGTACTAATTTACATTCCTACCAACAACATATAAGCATTCTCTTTTCACCACATCCATCCGTACGTATGTCTATTATTTTTTTGGACTTATTAATAACGGCCATTCAGGATAAGGTGATATCTCATTGTGGTTTCAATTTGCATTTCCATGACGATTAGTGATATTGGGCATTTTTTCATATGTTTGTTCGACATTTGTATATCTTCTTTTGTAAAAATTTTCATGTCTTTTGTCCACTTTTTGAAGGGGTTATTTGTTTTTTTTTCTTTCTGATTTGTTTGAGTTCTTTGTAGAGTCTACATATTAGCCTATTCTCAGGTGTATGGTTTGCTAATATTTTCTTCCATTCTGTAGGTTATCTATTTATTCTGTTGATTATTTCCTTTGCTGTGCAGAAGCATTTTAGTTTAACTAAGTTCCACATATTTATTTTTTTGTTTCTGTATTTGCTTTTGGGGTCTTAGTCATAAATTCTTTGCCTAAGGTTACACCAATATCCAGAAGAGTTTTTCCTACCATTTCTCCTAGAGTTTTTAGGGTTTCGGGTTTTACATTTAAAGCTTTAATCCATCTTGAATTAATTTTTGTATATGGAAAGAGATAGAGATCCAGTTTCATTCTTCTGAATGTGGCTATCCATTTTTCCAGCACCATTTGTTGAATAGGACGTCTTTTCCCCAAAGTATCTTTTTGTCTGCTTTGTCAAAAAATCAGTTGGTTGTAGCTATATGGTTTTATTTCTGAGTTCTCTCTTCTTGTCCATTGATCTATGTGTCTACCTTTATACCAGTACCATGCTGTTTTAGTTATTACAGCCTTGTAGAATGATTTGAAGTCAGATAGTGTGATACCTCCAGATTTGTTATTTTTGTTTAAAGTTTCTTTGGCTGCTCATGGTCTTTCTTGATTCCATATAAAATTTAGGATTAACTTTTCTAGATCAGTGAAAAATGACTTGGCATTTTGATGAGAATCACATTGAATCTCTAAATCATTTTGGGCAGTATGGACATTTTAACAATATTGATTCTTCCAATCCATGAGGATGGGATGTTTTTTCCATTTGTTTGTGTCATCTAGGTTTTCTTTCATCAGTGTTTTATAGTTCTCCTTAGAGAGATATTTCACCTCCTTGGTTAAATGTATTCCTAGGTATTTTATTTTCTTTGTAGCTGTTATAAATAGTACTGAGTTCTTGTTTGACTCTTAGTTTGACTGATATTAGTGTATAGAAATACCACTGATTTGTGTACATTAATTTGGTAATCTGAGACTACACTGAATTTATTTATCAATTCCAGGAGTCTTTTAGAGAAGTCTTCAGGGTTTTCTAGATACAAGGTCACATTGTCAGCAAACAGAGATAGTCTGACTTCTTTTCTAATGTGGAAGTCTTTTTAATTCCAGTGTTTCTTTGTTGATTTTCTGCCTCAACAATCTATTTCTGTCATTAGACTGTTGAAGTCCCTGGCTATTATGATGTTGCTGTTTATTTCTTTCCTTAAGTCTAGCAATATCTGTGTTATGAATCAAGGAGCTTCTGTATTAGGTGCATATATATTTAGGATCGTTATACCATCTCTTTAAATCAATCCCTTTATCATTATATAATGACCCTCTTTGTCTTTTTTTACTGTTGTTTATTTAAAGTCTGTTTTATCTGATATGGTAACAGCCACTTCTGCTTGCTTTTGCTTTCCGTTTGAGTGGCATATTTTTTTCAACTTTGCACTGTATTTTGTATTTCCCTAAATGATTCTTTCAGTTCCATAAGTTCTGTTATGTCTTCTTTTAAACTAAAATTCTTTAGTGAATTTTTCATTCATGTCATGAATTATTTTTTTGGTTTCTTCTTGTTGGGTTTCAGCTTTCTTATAGATCGCATTGAGCTTGCTTGCTTGTGAACCATATTTTGAATTCCATATCTGACATTTCAAAAATTTCCTTTTGTTTGGAGTCAACTAATGGCGAACTAGTGTGAGCCTTTTGAGGACATCAAAAGAGACTATTTTTTTTCACATTTCCAGAGTTCTTATGCTGGTTCCATCTCATCTGGAAGTTCTTCCCTCAGGTCAAAAACAGCAGCTTTGTGATTTACCTGTTCTCCTCTGCTTGGAATTCTGTTGCTCAGTGCAGAATGTATAGAGAGGGAGAGATTCACTGCTTTTCTGTTTGTACAGGTAGATACCCACTATGGCATTGCTGACAATTTGAGTCAGTTGGACTTCAGACTGGGAGGGTGTTCAAATGTCAGTGGTGATGGATTTCGTTAGGTAATTTCCAGTAACCAGGCCCCTGGGTGGCACGCCTGAGTCCTGGGGCCATGAGACAGAGACCAAACTGGCAAACCTGCCCTCAAGCCTCCCTGAGATCAGGTACTTGCTGTGATAGTGAGGGGGTGGGTGATCTCCTGCTCCAGAAGAGTATTCAGGCAGGAGAATGATGGATGCACTATAAGTCTGCAACAGGAGCGTTGAGGTTCTCATGATGAGATTAGTAGCAGCAAGCAGTTGTGTGTGGAATGCACAAACCACTCATACCTCCCTCTTTCAGCAGTGGTAGCCGTCTCTGTACTCAGGGGGCATAAAAACACCCAGATTCCCAGGTCCCATCCTGATGCAGATGCGGTGGAGGTGGGGGGAGCAGCTCAACCCTCTGTGTGAAGGGTTACCAGACTCACTGTGGGCTGTGGCTGAAATGCTCCAGCAGGGGAGGTGTGGTTGTGCCAGGGACTTGCCTCCAGGGAGGGTAGGCTCCCCCCAGTAGAGAAAAGCAGGTCAGAAAGAGAACTGCTAGCCCTGTCCTCCCTCTGGGGAGGGGGTAGCTTTTGTTTTTGTGGCACACAAAAGTGATTGCTGTGGCTTTTTAGAAGGAGAATAGTGAGCCCCAAGCTCTGTGAAATCCTGAAAGTGATAGGTGCTCTGTCAGAGGTGGGGCGGCCACTTGCAAGTGCCTTTGTTTAATCTTTCCCTATGGAATCCTCACCTGTCCTGAGCAGAAACGGCCACAGTCATCTTGTCAGCAGTGGGCTGAGGAGGGGTATGGGTGAGAAAGCCCCAAATCTTGGAGAGGTGGTTCCCTGGTCCCCTTTGTCCTAAAGGGCCCTCTGGTATTCTGTACTCTTCTCTCAGTTGGAAGCAGCATGCCTTGAATGTCCAAGCTCCAAGAGACTTCCAGTTCTCCCAGGACCCACTGGTCCCCCAATGCTGCTGTGCTCTGAGTGGGTCCTGGGGGTCATTGGCTGTGGATCCAGTGGTATAGAGACCAGACACTGAGATTCCAAGGTTGATACAGCTGGAAAAGCACTGCCTGTCTGTGAAAAGAGGGAAATGAACTGCACCCTCTATGCAGAACTCAGGTGCAGTAAGCAGAGTACTATTGGATCTATACCCCTCCTACAAACCTATAACTGGTGTCCTGTAACTCACTCACACAAAAGCTCATGTTTGGGAGCAGAGGTGGCTATGTCCACAACATTATGTGGTTGGAGGAGAAGAGGTCCCCATCTCCATGTCCTTTCCTGGGCTGCCTAACTATAAACTCCCAAAATAGTACCTTGGGCCTGTGGGGCAAGAGGATGGGACCTCTTCCAGGCACACAGTATGGACAAGATGCTGGGTGAAGTACTGTTCACTCCCATCTAAGTCTCACTGCAGATTGTAGGAGAGCAGTGGGAATTGTGCTAGGAATAGTGGGAGAGCTTGGGCTCCTGTGTCCCTCTTTAGCTGGGAGGGCTACAGTTCAGCCCAAGGGTGGGGCACTGCCCAGCTTTTGACTCCCAAACTGACACCTTGGACTTGTGACCAGAGAAGATGGGTGCCTTCCAGGAAAACAGTAAATACAAGATGCAATGGCAAATGTCATACACACACAACCCAGTTCCATAGCAGCCCATAGCAGTGCAGTGGGAATTGTCTTAGGTGTGTGTATGAGAGCTCAGGTTCCCCTGTCCCTCCTCAGCTGGTGGGGCTGCGTCGGCCTGAATTCAGCCTGGGGATGAGGCACTGTACAGCTTCAAACTCCCAAAATAGCACCCTGGGCCTTTGACCAGAGAGTGTGGGGCCTTTCCCAGGCAGGCTGTGCTGGTAGGAAACTGTGGGGAGTATAGTTTTCTTGAGTCTCAGTCCTACAGTAACTGGCTGCAGAATGGAGGGCACCGTTCGAGATGTGTGCTGAAAAGCCAGATTTCTCTGCCATTTCCAGCAAGACAGGGGCTACAGCCACATCCAGCCCAAATCCAGCCTGAACATGGGGCACAGCTCAGTGTCAAACCCTCAAAATGGCACCTTAGACCTACAACCAGAAAGGCTGGGGCCCCACCCAGACCATGAGTAAGAAAGTGTGGCAAGAAAGTATGGAAAATGCTGTCTGCCCATGTCTCAGTCTCACAAGTAGCCCACAGTAGGGTGGTGGATACCCTCCCAGGGATCCCAGGGAGTGCCTGGTGTCCTCTATCCCTCCTGGGAGCTGTGCAGTGGCTGCTGGCTCACCCAAAGTTCCCAAGGGTCTAGGCTCACAGAATGGGGACAGGCTCAGATGTCCCCTGTGGGACATCCCTGTGGGATCCTGTGTAAGTTCTCTTTCTGGAAAAATGTCTTATACAATCTGCAAGCAGCTCCCTATTTTAAGCCCGAGAGCTGTTTGGGTTGGGTGAGAGGGGTTCTCTTGTAGCCAAGATCATAAAAGCTTATCTTGGAGAGTAGAGCCCTGGAGGATTCTCTCTTACTGTTCACCCCATCAAGGAGCTCCTCCTGGCTGTTAGCTGGCCCCCTGACTGGGCAAGTTGCCCTGAACCCTCTCCTTACCTAATTTTGGTGCTTCCCATTGCTTCTCTGGTGAATCCTGGCATTCTCTTGTAGATGATCTGTTCTAAAGGTGATAATGTGCTTACTATTCTGGTTCCTCTTAGTGGAGGAGGCACATACTACTTGTGTCTAGTCAGCCATCTTGATCCTATTCTCTTATTCTTATCTTTTCATTAATAACATCAACATCTGCCAGCAGATTCCCCATTTGCACTTGTACTGTAAATGACTTAGACAAGTTTGATCATTACCTTTCAAGTTAATTGTAAAATTTCAAGCATGGATGGGTCATTCCAATGTATGCCTGAAAGAACTATTTAGTCTAAGCTGTAGTTGAGTGTAGAAGGCAGGATTTAGGAATTACATGAATAAAACTTGGACAAAAAATGACAGCAATGAAAGGAAATTCAAGAAAGTGAGAGGAAAGAACAAAATTTGGTCCAGAAATGCATAACAAATTTAGAGATGGGCCTATCAGACAAGGAAAAATTCCAGACACATCCTCTTGTGAGTAGCGATATGCCTAGAGAAATATCGTTTGCATATATTTTCTTGCTAAATATTTACTGTCACCAGCTGTATCTTACAAAGTCTTTGTTTCTTGTTTAGTGTAGTAGTATAAAGTGAGTTTTTCTGAGATCTTCAACTTTTCAAAAATAGGAATTCCAAATATCCTCATAATTTTGATGTTTACTGCAAAATATACAAGTGTAGAGTGGCATGCTACTGATGGTTTTCAGTGGGTACTGTATATTTTCTTATCTACTGACATGTAGAAACAAATATAATATTTAAAATTAATTATATCACCCTTCCACACCCCTGGTTTTCAATCCCATAGGGTTATAAAGTTATGAATTTGTGAGAGAAATATACCAACTGAAATGCTTCCTTCAACAAATAGTTAGCTGTAAGATTTTTTTCTGTGTTTGTCATTAACTATAATCAAGGAATAAAGTTCTTTACAACCCTTTACATCATAAAATACTGATTTATGAGTTTCTTACTTTAATTAATTGACTCAAGAAACCATTTTCAATATTTATTGCTTGTAATGGGTACTGTTAGGTGCTAGCCCATGCAGATAAGAGAAATAGATCTTAAGCAATCAAAGCATAATATGTGTTCAATAAGTGTAGAAACACACCTACACACATACAGGCACACACGCACCCCCAATAAACATACAGTTTCAAAGAAAAACACCTGATTTTTTACATTACTAAGTTTATTTACAATTTTATTAAAGTCATATAAAGAGCATTGCTCCTTTGTTGGATTTAGCTGCATTCAAGGCCTCCAGAAGGTTTCTCCGACCTACCTTTAAAACTGAGGCAGAGTTGATTCCTTTTACAACTCTACACAGTTAGCAACATAAAAGAAATCCAACATTATCATTTAGTTATTCCTAAATCTCTTTCTCTGGATAAATTGTGACAATTCTTCATCCCTCTAATATCTCCCATATTGATAGGAATGACCTCACAGAGCATAGGTGGTTGGTAATATTTGCTCAAGTGAATTAAAATGTGAAAGAAAATGAATCTATATATTAATAGTAAATAAACTGAAAAAGAAAACTGGCTTTCAAAGAACTAATACTTTTTAACCTGCTATTCTGTTCTTAATTAATTGACCCTTAAGGCTATTCAGCTGTACCTGCTATAAAAGGGAAGGTGGCAGTGTATAGCTCAGGGAAGAGCACAGAGCTGGAAAGAGGAGGTAATACATGTGTGTGAAGCTTCCAAGGTGTTCTGAGACAAAAGGAATGTATCTTCCCCATCCCATCTACCCTCCCTCACCTTGTCCCTCACACACCCGAATCTTTAGAGATATTATTTGGGGTGAACTTTTGTGGTCCAAACCAAAAATGTAGCAAGGATGGGCATTGAAATTCCATGTGGGCAAATAAAAACCAAAATGAGTGGGCCAGCCCTGGCACTGAGTAGAGAAAAGAAACTGTGGTTCTCTATCCATGTATCTTTTTAGTGCAGGGAGGCTTCTTGACTAAGCATATTACAAAGGGCTCATGTCTCCCTTAAGAAACCTAGTGTTCCAGAAACAGGCTTCAATCTCTTAGAACAGCAGGGAATTTCTCCAGAGTTTCATAAACAAAACTTTGGGAAACTGCATCACCTTGTTAGCCATGCTGCTTCCTTTTTTGTTCCTCAGGGCCCAGCTCAGCTACTGACATTAGACCACCTGTTACCACAAGAAATGTGTCAGAGCCCAGAGGGCCCTCTGCTCCCCATCCAGCGAGGCAATGCAGATAAATTCTACCATCCTAGAGAGACTTTAGCCCTACTAAAGTGGTTAGGTGCAAACCTTCAACACTGAATGTAAAAGTGGATAGTGAACAAGATTCCTTCGAATAATCATGTGTGATGGTACAAATGGGAAGATCACCCTTGCCTGGGAGCAGAGGATGGGAGCCCACTCCAGCATTGGGCAGGACCTCTCAAACCTCACTTCTTTTCAGCAATGTGTGGCTCGTGGCTGCAACCTGAACTCTAGGATGAACAACTCCTATCCTTAGGAGCTAGCAGACGTGCAGAGGTGTCCTTTATAATATTAAATTGACTTGGAGCCCTGAGGGAAGGTGCATTGGCTTTTATACTTCTACTCAACATAAGGTCTAAAAGCTGAACTCTGGACATAAATGAGACAAAATATCTGTTCCACCAGCTGGAATGATAGCCAGCCCAATTCTACATAATTAATCTTCCCCAAATATTTGAGAGTCATCAATGGAGTGTGAGAAAAAGGCTATATATATATGTGTGATCTTGAAGATTTATAATACTTGAATCCTTCTTATAAACAGTTCTTTTCCAAACATAGATTATTATCTTCACAGCTTGTACAATTCAAAAGTGGCCAAAAAAAAAAATTTCCCTGTTCAAAAATCTAAGAGATGACATACTCTTTTCAGTAGATGTAGACCATTTCACAAGCTGTGGCTTGAATAAAATGCAAAACAGGTTATAACAATTCTTATCAGATTATGAGAACGCTATTTCTTTATCTTCCATTTACTTATAAAATCTGAGGTTGTCATAAAAGACTGAACTTTATAGAGACATTGGGTGTAGTTTCCAATGCTAATTCAAAATAATCCACAACTCAACCGACGTATAAACAAAGTTTAACTGTCATTTTGAAATCAAAAGTATCAGCTATTTAAGATCCACAAATGACTGAAAACACCT